GATTTCCCCCAATCAAATGTATCTCAGGAAGAGAGAACTGGTATTCACTATGAAATCATGTTGATTTGAAAATTAACAACCAAATGATAGTTGGTTCAAATAAAATTCTCTTGATAAAATTAATGTTTCCTGTCAGTGTAGAAAATAGCTGTCACACTTTCAAACACGAGAACAAAAGTTCTATTTCACTTGGCCCAAAACCGACCTAAATCTCCTCAACTTAAGCTCCTTCAACATCATATATCTCATCTTGAGAGGTTATATTGTTACGTGAAGCCTCATTCTTTGCAACGATAATAGGAAACTGGAAGTTTATCCCCGGATGATGCAAGATTTAAGAACGAGTGATACACTGAAAGAACATTCTGACATTATTCTGTTGGGCTGATAGAATTCATTTTTATTGTGTCATTATATGCATGTCGGAACATTCAGTAAACAAGCAGTCATGTGACAGTGAGCATGTTACTGATGGATTAATTTCTCGAGACAACCAAATAGAAACTTTCCATTCCGTCATTAACGACTAATTAAGCTCATTATATTCAGAAACTCATTATACGAAACGTGATTTAACGAAAAAAATATCACATTTATGAATGAGATAATGGAAAACTTGAGATCTACTATCATAGATTGACATCAATAATTAATTTAATAATATTATGAAAAGTTAATAATTGAGATTTACTGATTTCCATTGAAATTTGAAAAATAATAGAATAATTGGTACTTTAAATTTTTCAATTGGCTATTTACTTTATATTAACAATATGTAAGTGTCAATATAAAGTATTTTTCGAATAGCCAAAAAATCGTCAATCTTCCGAACTCAATTATTGATTGATAAAATAATTCGGAATCTAGTACGAAATGAAGATGAATAAAAATAAAATGCATATTAAAATTTACAATAAAAAAAATAAATAAATAAAATGTATGATTATGCCGATGTCTGACTACTACGAAAACATCTCCAAAAGAAGACATTATGTTTCAAGACAAATGAATGAATGAAACTGTAACCCAAGAATGAAATAAATAAGTCTCAATAAAACTGGTGCTCTCTGTCTTCCGTCCGCCAGCCGGAAGTTGACACCCCACTCGGTACACATACATCGGAGAATCCCCATTCATTGTTGAAACCCCCACTTCACCGCTCAGCATTTATTCACTCATTCATCAACACGCTACGCGCCTACAGGCTCATTCGAGAAGCTTTAATTGTGGAACGTTTATCCATTATCATTACCACAATTACAACCACGGGGGGGGGGAGAAGGGGGGATTTCCCGTTGTACCCTGAGCGGAAGAAATTCGGTAGATGATAGGAAGATGTCTCCCCACAACGAGAAGAAATTGAAAGGTGAATAGAACGTCAAAAATGAAAAATCATCGCAGTAAAAGGATTTCGGCACTCTCACGTCGTCTGAGTGCTGGAACTCTCCACATTTCCGGTTTTCCATTCACTATCGCCTTCGAGGCAGGATCGATTTCCATTCGACGAGAATTCAGCGCACGTCAATATACTCAGGGTTTTTTTTTCACACTTTGATGTTACTAGGGGGGTACACAGTCGCCATTTTTAGTTATTGGAAGATCGAGAAGAAAATCGGTTGTTCCACGATAACTAAAAAGTGTTCTGAATTGATTGAATGATGGCTTAAAAAATTTGTTTGGATGTCCTTTCGACCGAGTTCGAAGATGAAGACGATAACAACAATCGTTATTTTGATTTATTTGAAAATTTGCAAAAATTTTGTATTTTTTGAAAATCAGAATTCCGGGGATATCTTTGAATATCATGCTTCAAATGAATTCAATCATAGCTTAAAATGTTTGTTTTAATGCAGTTAAGTCGAAGTTAAAAGATGATTACGGTTGATTTGATTTTTACGATGATTGTTGAAAATTTCGAATTTCTCATGAATTTCCCTGAAAGTGAGCTTTCTATTTTCTTCAAATGTGATATTTCAAATTCATTCAATTCAATTAGTAAAATTGCCGAAGCTTTCTATAATCATAATTTTTCTCCGACTTTTCTCCCCGTGAACGCTCGCAGGGATCGGCTTATATCCTCTCTCGCGTGCGTGAAAAAAACGCAAAGGTACACTTAACTTCAAAAAAGAAATAACGCAATAAATTCGTCCCTTCCGTCGAACGTAATTCGAAACTCCCCGGGGTTTTTCACACAGGTGACACAACGGACTCGTGCGTCGTACCTTTCATGATAAAAAAAGTGACTGAGGAGTGGCTGGATATACCCTTGCCCTTGACGCTCACGAGAATGCCTGCTTGAGGGGTCTAGGATCGCAGACGGCTCCAGCGAGCGTGAGTAGACTGTAACCAACTCTCCGTACCCTTTATATCCACGTGAAGTGCGTGCGTCAAGTGAGCTTTTGGAGACAGAAAAATAAAGACAGGGTTCATTTTCTCCGAGTGATGAGTTGCAGAGTATCGACCAACCCAGCAATAGAATACAATTTTTTTTATGAGAACATTAGAATTTCCCCTCGCCGTTCTGTAAGAATACTTTTCTTTCAAGGATGTTCAGCCGAAATCCACATTATTCACCATAATTTTAATATTGTCTCACATGCCAGGTTCATATTTGAGCCACACGTTAGTAATAATCTTAATCCTTCCATCGGGGCATCCTAGTGAGAAATTAATTTCTGAAAATCACTTCTTGTAACATTACGCTTAGGGAAGAAACGTGACCGCGTGAACTTCGATCGAGATGTTGCATGGGTTAGACACTCAAGATATTGAAAAAAAACCACAAGCCATTTACTTTAGACTATGGAGAATCCATCGCCGGCGAGAACAAGTAGGGGACCGGGCCATATAGGCGTGATATCTTCGATTGATTTTCGAATTCCTCTAAAAAAAATTTGACCGCCATTACGAGTCGAACAACGCGACAACACCGCACAACAGCTGATCGAGGTTGGTAAAGTCGGTGACGATAATTCAGTGCTGGAAGCATATGGACACGTATAACACACTCAAACATTCATCTCGCTGTTACAACCCCACTACTAGCCGAAGTGTGCGATGTTGCCCGATCAAAATTCGACTGTTACCACTGCAGTCACAAGTCCTCCATTATCTATGAACATTCTCTTTAATTATTGTTTTTGAGACCGGAGAAGTGCGCCATAACACTTCTAATTTGATGAGAAAAATAATTTGTAACATGAATGATTTATTTAGACAATTTTATTTTTATTTTCAACTGAGTTGTCCACTTGATAGGTTAAACATCCTTAAGTAAAAAAGTTGAGTGAATAGTTCCAAATGTCTTTACGATTACTTGAAATTTCCCGTTGACTCGCATTTATCGAATTTCACACAGTGACATATGGTCTATAGACTGCTGAAGAAGGATAATCAATTCGATATCGAAGACGGCGGGACTCTGCACAGCAGAATCCTTCGACAAATCAAAAATGTACATCGTCTCCAACTTTTCCGCATGATTTATGAGCAAACATCCATACGTACGATCCAAGGTATAGACGTAGGAAAATTCGGGACATCGGAGTTGAGTTTGACGATGTCGCACATGGGGAGCATCAACCCACGAGGGGGGATCGAAGGTTTCTCTCGGAGCAATGGGATAGAGCATAGGTGTATACGGAATGAATAAGAAAAGAAGGCGAATGAAATAGCGAATGTCGGGGAAAACGATGCTATTGACATCCCTCGACGGGATAAAGTTCTGATTTATTCGAACGATGTCCCACTACCCGTGTTTATACAACCCGTCACGCATCGTTCTCGATGGCAAATCTATGTGGAGAGAAAAAATGAGCAGGGAAGATTGACTCGGGAATTCGTTCAGATCTGTCGGGAGAATCCCGCATTTCTCGTATTTGATGGGATCGTTAACTCTCTTGAAATATTGGGGAGCAATTGAATTTTTCCTGCTCCACTAGAATTTTTCACTGCATTTTTTCAATTTAAAGACTATTTCGCAATGTGAAAGCAACTGGGTTTCATTAAATCGTTGAAATTTTCCATTTTCGATCCAAAGTAAATATTTAGAGAATTATTTTTCTGATGATTTTACATAAATAGTGCTATTTTTTATATGATGATTAAGCAATATGCACATAGTTAGCTTTTATCCTGTATAATTCATTGCTCATTTCATTTTATTGAATTGAATAAGATTTCTTTTCAACTAATTTTATCGGATTTTCAACTTAGTTGAGTGTTATCATCTTCATTATTCTTATTATCCCTTCCGTCTGTACAACCGATTTTTACGGTTCTATCTCTCCCCTCAACCCTTCGATAAAATGTTAATAGAAAAATTTTATTTATACATACTTGAATGAATTTGAAACATCACATTTGAAGAAACCATCAGAACGCTCACTTTTAGGAAAATTCATGAAAAATTCGAAATTTTCAACAATCATCATAAAAATCAAATCAACCAATATAGCTATCGTAATCATCTTTCAACTTCGACTTAATGGCATTAAAACAAACATTTTAAGCTATGATTGAATTCATTTGAAGCACAATATTCAAAGATATCCCCGGAATTCTGATTTTCAAAAAAGACAAAATTTTTGCAAATTTTCAAATTAATCAAAATACCGATTATTGCTATCGCCTTCATCTTCGAACTCGGCCGAAAGGACATCCAAACACATTTTTTAAGCCATCATTCAATCAATTCAGAAAATTTTTTTAGTTATCGTGGGACAATCGATTTTCGAAAAAATTCGAAAATTAAAAAAAATAATCGATGAATGAAATTTTAGTTAATGCGGGGCAAACGAATGACGATCTTCAATGTATGAAAAATCCAACTCCAATAGCCCGCGACTTTTAAAGTCTCCCTTTAATTGAAATAATTATTTAAATCCTATTTTACTCTTAATAAAATGAGATCAAGACTTTTGGACGAGGGTAGAGACGGGACGAAAGGCAAATTTACCTTATTAAAATTTTCCAAAGAATTTTATGGATTTAAAACTCACCCTTCAGATGCTCCGGTGTGTCAGCTGCTCCTGCTCGCATTATGTCACTCAAGTAATGTTCCAGAGTTCGCATATTGTCCAGCGATGAATTTCCGTTTGCCGTCATCCTTTCCTGAAATCAAATTTCCCGGAAATTAATATTTCCCTTTCTACTTCTGGCAAATATATCGAAGAGGTTCATAAAAATTGGCAAGAGCAGATCGGCTCTTTCATCCTTTGATTATGCACCGACCTCTCCCAGTGGAGAAAGGACTTGTATTGGAAGACCGGCGGAGGAAACGAGTCAGTGGAAAAAAGGAAATGTCGGGGTCATATGCAAGACAGTCCACACAAAGAAAATAAAGCACTGATGCACATCTTCGGTTTCTATTTGAGAATGTTCTGATGTTCCAGAGAGGAAGAAAGCTCAGAGCTTCCAGTAAAAATTCTTCAATTTAAGAACTCTGTGGTACAAAAATTTAGTGACTAAAAAATCCTGAAAATCTGCTGTTGAAGATTAAAAACTCTGGGAAAAGATGATTGGTTTTCTATTCTTTTTTGGACGATTCTATTGAGGAATTTCCAGCTTCTAAAATGTAGAAGGCACGAGAGTATAAACTCAAGTTTTAAATCGTAAGAAAAAATTACAATTCAACATGGTAAAAATTCATACGATTTGAGTAACTCCTCGTCGTTCATAAATTGAATTCAAATAAACCGCTTCTCCGGGGGAACTAATAGTGACAAAGTAACATTCGTAATTATCTAGAGTCAGTCCAATCAATACTGGCATCGTTATTCAATAGTTAATTGTTTCCCTCACGAATTCTCATTTTTGATTTCCATCAAGATATAATTAATGAATTCATAATGCATAATGAATGGCTAATGAACTTTAAGGTTCTTGAATCAACAACAAGTTAAAAACATTTTCCTTCTTAAATTCCTGCTTTTTATTGTTTCATAATTAATCTACTCCCGTTTATAATTTATGAAGTCTCCCTGACAATTTGACCCAATTCATGTTGAATTATATCAGAATATTATATCTTCCCGACATCGGCATAATCATAAATTTCAAATAAAGTTAAATTTTGAATGAGTCCATCGTTGATGTGACTCATCAATATTTTAATTACTAAATTAATCACCAATTAAATATTCAAATTCCGATTTATTTTGTCAATCCATAGCTGAGTCCGGAAGATCGACGACTGGCTAATCTAAAATCCTTTCATGAAAGTTATAAATATTTACTCAACAGTCAAATAAAAAATATAAATTATCAGTTTAGTAGCGAAGATATCTCCGAATCTAAAGGAGATATCGAAATTTTCGTAATGACCTTTTTGAAAGCCCTCAATCCGTTCTACAAAAAAGGTTATTACAAAATTTTGCCATCTCCCTTAGATTCCGAGATATTCACTGCAAACTTGCCAACAGTCAAAATTGACTTGAACTGTTACCGCTTCGCTCCTGAATTATTTTATTATTTTTCAAATTTCAATGAACACAAGTCAACCTGAATTATTATAAGTTGCAACTTCTCATAAACATACAATATTACTAAACTAATTACTAAACCCAAATCCATTGATTTAATTCAGTAGCGAAGTGGTAAATCGGTATAAGTCGATTTTGACTATTGACCAGTTTTCAATGAATATCCCGGAATCTAAGGGAAATAGCGAAATTGTTATAATTTCCTTTTTTGTAGCTCTCAATTTGCTCTACAAAAAATGTTAAGACCAAAATTTGGGTATTTCCCTTAGATTTTGAGATATTCATTGAAAACTGGGCAATAGTCAAAATCGACTTATACCACTTCACTACTGAATTCAAATGAATCGTTTTGCCAGGTGCACAAATAGCGAAAGAGTAACTCTCATAATTACCTAGAACCCGTCCAATCAATACTGGCATCTCAATCCAACAATTAATTATTTCCCTCACGAATTCCCCATTTTTTCGGTTTCCATCAAGATAAATTTAATGAATTCACTATGCATTTCATTACCCTTCTGTTCATTTTCTCCTCGTTCCTCCGAACGAGAAAAAAAAATGAAAAACGATGGAAGAAACACGAAATGCTCAATGCTGGTGGCACTCCTGCGTGAAACTAGGGGAGGAGATATAGCCCCGAAAAGTGATGGCGACCCCTCGGCACCACTTCCCAAAAAGGAGATCTCCCCCCATCGAGTCTTCCGCCCTTCGTCTCCCCTCAATAATTCGCCGGAAAAGTCGGCTGCACAATATTTTCTATTTCCCCCCTAGTAACTCCTATGTATTCGAGCTATTTGGACAGTGGGTTCAATGACCTATTTGATAACAGGGACGAAGTGTGTAACAGTCGTTGGCCCAAGGGGTGGAGTGAGGAAAAAAATGGGGAGTGAAGCAGTGGAGAAAGGAGAAGTGCGCTCTGCACTCTGACGTTGACCAATTGAGAAAGAGGGCTGTTGCACTAACGAAACATAAGGTGCGGTGGAGAAAAGAATTGTAGGTAGACACGTACAAATTTCTCGGGAATATTCGCAGGCCTGGCACGTCTGACCAATGCGCCAGCATCACCACTTTATTAGGGCGCAATTTCATATTTGTAAGTGACTTGTTCGGTAAAGCTGCGCCATTTGCTCTATTTATTGGTACAACAGTTAAACGTGTTAAAATGTTTACATAAATCGGCATCAATCATTACTTTAGTAATATTATAAGACGTTGCACCTTACAGCAATTCAGATTTATCCAGCAGAATTGAATTTTGAAAAATGATATTATATATTTTTTTTTTATTCATATTTCTTTCCTACTACCATTACGGTTTTACAGGCTCCCCGGTCGTCTGCCTTGCCTCTCCCACTTCTCTTTTCTGATTTTTTCTGCGTTACTATGGGCCGTCTTACTCTTAACTGTACCCCATTCGGGCTAGGACTGCAAGGGAAACCATGGAAAACCCCGGTCGTACAGCCGGCCGATAATGCAGGTATTCCACTGTGTCCATTGGTCACACTGACTCAATGGGCACAGTGGTTCTCTACATTCGTGCCTAGCGACTGTAGTCCCACGCGGTTAGGTGTGCCCAAGCGGACACCCATCCAAGTACTGGGCAGATTGAACGCTGCTTAGCTTGGATGACCGCCGGAGCCACACTACAGCCACTTGAATGATATTATAATTGGTAATTTAATTTCTCGATTATTGGTTGATAAAACATTTCGGAATTTGAAAATTTAAATTGATGGTAATTTTTATAATCAAAAATTGGTGAGTAATATTAGTAATTGACTTATTCAAAATTTCGATTGTCGATGTCTCTTCCGGAAATTTTTATAGTGTTCAAGTTCCACTGAAATTTCAAGAAATCTTGTCATCGAAAAATCAAATATTCCATTGATTTTCTGTTTAAATAATTTGGAAATCAATAAAATACTTGATTTTTCAGTTCGATTATTCTGTGAAAATTCAGAAAAATCAGTAAAATTGTGAAAAAAAATTGAAAATTCATGTCATTTTGGTTCCAAATATTCATTCGGATTAAATTTTTGCTGAAAATTATGTCAAGTTGTGAAATTTCCATCTCACTCCCACCGAAAACTCATGAATTTCCGTGAATTCTATTTAAACCTTGAAATTTCCTACAATACCTTCCACGAAATTTCAAAAAATTTCTAACAGTGTATTGCACTGAGCAAAAAATCACTTTTGCCAAGTATATTTACTAACTGCAAAAAACTTTACATAAAGGATAAAAATTATCCTATCGTTCTGTAAAAGTGTATCATGCGTCATCGTTTCCTCATTTCTGTCCCGAAATTTCATAAAAATTAAAATATGATGATCAAATTTAACTCTACGTTAGAGAAATTGTATCCTGACACACAATAAATTTTTCCTTCCAGTCCAATAATTTTTATGTAGATAACAACGAAAATTCTAGAACGGTTGGTAAATTTAACTCTGTCGATACAGTAATTTTTACTCTACCGCCCGGTAATTTTCATTTTCATCAGTATAAAATTTCTCTACCACCGAATAAAATTTCCTCATCACCCATTAATTTTTACTAAATTTCGGGATAGAAATGATGAAACGACGACTGATAATCCAATTTTATGGAACGGTAGGATAATAGTAATCAAAAATTTCTCTCCGCGTAAATGACGCTCAGTAGTACATAATTAACGTTAAAATTTGTCCGCGCGTAGAGATTTCCAAGACTCATCGGGAATTTCAGTGGAAAATTTTTAACAGTGTACTGTCGACGCCCTGCCTGCCCGCCGCTTCCTGGTTTCCCTATATTGATTTTCCCGTGCTCGGTGTGGTGCTCAAGCTCAGGATGGATATACTGGGGCTGTCCCAGAGTCGAAACGAGACCGAGTATCCCCCCTCAGCTCCCATCTCCCTTCCTCTCACTCGCTCCCATTCTCCTCGAGAGACTCCATCTTTCTTCTACTTCTGCCCAACCCCCACCCCCACCCTCTCCCTCGCCCCTCGCCCGCCCCCATCGTCGTCAATTCCTTCACGTAGTGGAGCCAGCGGTACGCGCTGGCGCAAGAAGCCCGACGCTGTGACTTGTACAAGTGGTAGTGGAAACTATGCAGGTCNAGCCACCGGTACGCGCTGGCGCAAGAAGCCCGACGCTGTGACTTGTACAAGTGGTAGTGGAAACTATGCAGGTCGACAGGTAGTGGAAGCGAGACGCAGCCTGACGTGATCTAGTGGAGGGGAGGGCAAACCCCTTCGTGCATACGTATACACGTCAGGCTTCTTGCACGAGAAATTCGACAGTCTGGGGGATTCGATTAATGCGCTGAGCCCCATTCCCACACCCCCGCGTTGAGTTTCTGTTTTTGCTTGATTTTTTTCCTCCGTAGGATCCTTTACTTTTCAACCCACTGACCAAATAAGTGCGGTCAAACCGGGGTTTCAATGCGGGGAGTGGTTGCCTCCATTTTTGCGAGGGTTTTGCGGGCTGCCGGGATGAAATGGGGGAGGTTCTGAGAAATCATATTTTGTTGGGAAGTAGGTCGGCGGCGCGAGTGTGATTGAGATTAATTGCCTGCATCCGGGGAAATTATCCAGTTGGATTGGACGGAGTCCGTGGGTTTCCTCCGAGGGTGGTTTTGTCATCTTTCA